TACATCCAAATTCTTTACCAAATTTGAAAAAAAAATCAAATACTAAAAATAAATAATAATAATGAAAATTAGAAGGAAAAAAAACGAGAATGAAATTATTGAGTGGGCGAGCACGTTTTTGACACCGCCATCTTTGGCGATTTTTCATTTTGTTTTGGCTGTGACAAATGCCATGAAAATTTATATATTTGTATCTTACATAATAGAGAATCTACAAATAAAGTTTGAAAAAATAATATTTTTTTTTCATGCCCCGAAATAAAGGAAAAACAAAAAGTGAGCAAAAACAAATTAGTGAGTGGGCAAGCAAGTTTTGACACCAGCATCTTTGCTGATTTTTCATGTTTTTTTGGCTGAACAGAATGGCTTCAAAATTAAGAGGGAGATACCTTACATCACAAAGAACTCAAAAAAAAAAAAAATTCAAAAAAAAAAAATAATATTTAGGTGCCAAAATATTTTTTTGCGGGCTCCGAACCCCTTCAGGTTCGGGCCCCGTACAGGGACCCGAACGTCCGAACGTCCGAACGTTCGGGGGTCGGCTTAAGGGCCTCCGTGCGTTCGGCCTGGCAACCCTGCCTGGCACTACATTATGAGGAAACCAGCCGAAGGAGGACTGGACATCAGTGACCCCAAACAAGAAACAAAGGCCCTAGAATTTAAATGGATTGTTAAACTTCTCACCAGACCTGGACTAGCATGGAACAAACTGGCTTTGGACAGTATCAGGAACTTAGCTCCTGTAGACACCCCAGTGAACATGTCGGTCTTTTCTGGGTAATGAACAAAGAATGGACCCCAATACAGGCCGAAGGAACCGATGAAAAGGGAGGGGTAAATGAAGACAGACCCCCCACACCCTACTGGTCCGCCCTGCTACGGATATGGTGGTAAATCATGCCAAAAAAAGTGGGCAGACCCAAGTCCAAAGAAGAGGTGTTGAGACGACCACTGTTCAGTAATCCTTGGGTGAAGGACGTGAGTGACCACCCTTTAACCCTTAAACCTAGAGGAAGGAGATGGCTATCCTGGATAAGGCATGGAGTTTGGAAGGTCTGCCACATATGGGATGAGGAGAAAAAAGATTGGGTGACAGAAAAGGAACTCGCCGGTCGGCTCAAGGGATGTCACCGACGGGATGAGAACCTGCAAATGGTCATACGCTGCATTCCAGATGGATGGAAGGAACTACTGAACGAAACCACAACATGGAAACCAGGAGAATGGGGGGTTTTGGTACAGGAATCATCTCCTTCAAGGGCCTACCAATTTTCCCATAAACAGCAGGGTTCGGACACTTTTGCTGTATTCACCTCTTTTCCAATTATTCATTCGATTCAAGGGCTTTCATCCATCTTGAATGATGGGGTCGAAAGAACAGCTCTAAACAGCTTTGTGCTTAGGAAGGTGAAGAGTATTGGGGCAATGGCCAAAAACGATCTTCAGAATGGATACGGCAATTCAGGATTTGGAATTCGACCCAGCGGAATGGGCCTGGACACCAGGAAGAAGCAAAAACCTAAGAACCAATATATTCGTCCAGGATTATACAGTTAAACTGGGTTACAATCTCCTAAAAAAAAACAAGGCACCTGGATCCCACGATCAAAAATAGATGGACGAAGTTGATTGGTCAGGAAGCCACCCAGATATCGCAGATACCGTGGAAGAAATTCAAATCAATCCGACCGGTCAAAATTAGAAGCCTCCAATGGCTTATCTCATACGTAGCGTTACCGGTCAACCAATGGCTGCATATCAGAAGACACAATGACCCTAATAGCTCTGACATATGCGTAGTATGCTCGGAAAACGGACCTGAAGATATGATACACTGTCTAATAAGGTGCAGAGAAGCGACGGAGTATTGGGCCAGAGCATCAGACCTCTGGACATCCCTTTTCCCGATTCCCCTCCCCGAACACCCCATCCAACTCCTCCTTTGGATTAACATTCCTGCTCAGTTTCACAAGGCCGAAAAGATATGGTTTGGGATGATCAGAAAAGTAACTCTGGTCTATATGGAAGGAAGGTGCAGCAGAACCATCAAAGGGCTATCTACACCAAGGGAGAAAGTCTGGGTGGAGACAAGGACACTAATTCAGGCAGAGATTTTGTGCAAATGGCAGAAGACAATCCATGACGGATGAGGCTGACCAACAACAGAGAACAGTGAAGAAATTACCAAAGATATGGCTGGCAGGTGGCAAGGTAGCAGAAATAAAGGACTTCCTCATATGTTGGAAGGACTGGCACAACTCAGAAGTGGGCCTGGGAAGACAGAGAATCCAGCAAGCTCCATCGCAGGCCACACAAGTATCATAGCATAAGGTTATGCAACTGGTCAGGAATGGTTCGAGTGTGGCTTGTAGAAGCAAAACATCTATTCCACACACGTACAGGTTCTGGTCCACACGGAATTGGTAGCAGTTGTAGCTTCTCAGACCTTTCTCGCTTTTCATGTTGTATTTGACAGGTTCTGATAGTAGTCCTGAAAGGAAAGGTGGAAGCAGGGCAAGCTGACAGTCAATCCTCCACGGTGTTGGAGCAATCCATGCTGATCAGGGTTCCTTCGGCCAGATGGAAGGAAGCGTGAGAGTGTCTTATGATGTAACTAATTTTCCTGACTTGCCGGTGGAAGAGGAACCGGACTGATGCTCCCCAGAATGGAAATGGAGTCAGGGCCATAAGGACCTGCTTTTTTTTTTATAAGTTTTTCGATTAAAAACATACTTGCGGGGCACCTGCACTGTGCGCTGTGCGCGGACCGAGGGTGCGTGCGCACCGGCGCGCGCCGCGTATCTGGGTGCGCAGTGCGCACGTCTGGTGTGCTGTGCGCATGTGCGCAATGTATATTTCCATGTTCTAGTGGTAGAACCATTTGATTTTGTTCTCTCTCTCTCTCTCTCTCTCTCTCTCTCTCTCTCTCTCTCTCTCTCTCTCCCCTCCC